AATAACTACTAGGAACAAGGACGCTACTAGGAGCAAAGGGCATCGCTTCTAGTAACAAGTGCCTTACTAGTAGTAACAAGAAGCTATTAGAAACAAGATCATTGAGGAACAAGAAGCAAGTTAAACGAATGTTTTACAGCTTTTGGGACGGATTTCACCCGAACGAACCCGCGAACCGGCCAGGCCTCGGCCAGGCAGCCTTTGACCTCCAAAAGCTTCGCAAGATGCCCAACGGAGGCCAGCGTGCTTGGGTGCATGGCCCCGAGCTGCATCTGACGTCCGGTCAGAGCTCTTCTCTGAAGCAGCTCAGCCTCCTCGAGCTTGCCCTGCTTCCGTAGGGAAACTGCAAGGCCATGCACTGGAAACAGGGTCTCCGGATGCATCGCTCCAAGCTCAGCCTCAAATCCTGCCAACGCTCGTCTGTAAAGCGCTTCCGCATCCTCCAATTTCTCCTGATCCAGTAGCACATTTGCAAGGTTGTTGGCTAAAGTGAGGGTGTCCGGATGCATCTCTCCAACCTGACTTTCCGTTCGGGTCAACGCCCGTCTAAAAAGCACTTCAGCATCCTCCAACTTCCTCTGCTTGCTCAACAACCCGCCAAGGCTGTCTAGTGAAGCCAAGGTGGCGGGGTGCATCGCCCCAAGCTCAGCTTCACACCCTGCCAAAGCTCTTCTGCAAACAAGTTCAGCCTCTTCCAGCTTGCCCAGATCCAACAAGGCCCGTCCGAGATTGAACACTGACGCCAGGCTTTCTACATGCACCGGTCCAAGCTGAGCCTCACGTCCGGCCAAAGCTTGTCTGAACAATGCCAGGGAGTCCATCTGCTTCCCGGCGAATTTCAACGTGATCGCCAGACCGTTCACTGCCCTGAGGGTCTCCGGATCTTCTTTGCCTCGCTGCGCTTCGTAGGCCTCCAGCACGTGCCGCTGCAGCCTCTCCGCCTCAGCCAAGTCACCGCGCGCCGTCAGCACGATCGCCAGCCTGGGGACGGAGCGTGGGATTGGACCCAGTGGGGTCAAGTGGGGATTTTGCTTCAGTTTCAAAGGCTTTTTGGTGGGAAGAGTTGGAGTCTGGAAGATGTGGACTCTGGCATCGTCAAATGAGGTTGAAATCTTTCGTCTGGGAAGTCTGAAACGAGTGGAAATCCACTGATCTTGCTTTGGTTCATATATGTCTTGGTGAATAGACCGAGGGCCAAGCCGGCTTAACGCCTTGAGCGCTTCAGAATGTTCTGATCCCAGTTTCTCTTTGATAGCTTCGGCGCGGCAGCGGAGCCTTACCCAAAAAAGGATTCACAATGGGTTGCACATCTTCTGTCTTCACAGAACCTTTACATTCATGCTGAACGCTGGACTACAGATTGCTCTGCCCCGAGGCCCGAGGTCTATGGTTGGAGAATCTATCAAGCCTCTGTTGCTTGAGCTGCTTGTTTTCTTCTGGCAATGCAAACACATGCGCCCTGAGTAATGAACAAATTCTTGTTGACCTCCAAGTGTTCACTGCTAAGCTGCCTGACAATAGAACATAGTAGCACCAAACATCTCGATAAACATTTGAGGATGAAGCCTAGTTATCCCTAGGTGTGACATGCATGACCCTTTGGCAAGCTGAATTGCTGATCGCAAACAAGCGTCGATTCCACCAGCACTGCACTGGCGTTGCCAACCTTCTCCGCCCGTTCTGCTCGGACGACGATACATTGTCGAGGTGGCATACCATCTTCGTTGAGCTGCTTTCCAGCTAGGTTCCTAGGCGAAGTCAGCCCCTTCCCATCCAATTCCGAGGAGGTCCAATAGTTACTGTATGTATGGAGTCACGTGTGGGACATGCAACTAGGCGCGTGGCACACCAACAGGCTTCCCCTGCAAAATAATGTATAATGTAGACAACATGCAAAAATGATCCAGTTCCACAACTTGCTACCCAAGAAATAGACATCTCAAAGTTGCATAGGCCCCAGCCTTTTCGACCATTTCCGGCGTTTGTCTCTTGGACACATCATAGGCGATGGATTCATCGACCAAGATAGGTATACAGAAGGCAACCCTTGACCTGTACTCCTCCGTCAAGAAATGTAAATGGCACATGCATCCACAAGAAGTCTTACTTCCAGTGTCCTCTGAGTCTTCTGGCAAGATTAGACTGGCAAAAGGGCATCACACAGGAGCTCTCTCCTCCACAGCTGCCTCACGACCCCTCAAGTCGCTGTCCCTCTTGAGCATATTGCGGTAGTTGTTGTCAATGAGTGCTTCGATGCTTGGCCACTCATCTGGGGACTTCTGCACCGAGTAAACTCCTGGAAAATGCTTCTACTAGCTTCTTGTTACTACTAGTAAGGCACTTGTTACTAGAAGCGATGCACTTGTTACTAGTAGCTTCTTGTTACTCCTGGAAAATGCTCTGGCACAAAGATGTGTTGATATGAATGGGTGCACTTTCCAAAGTTCCTTCTAAACCTTTGCACAAACTGTGAGACATCTGTTTTCACATTCTGGCGCACACACATGCATGCCTGATCTCTACAGCCTATAGCTTAGTTCTAATCGCAATCGATGCAATGACGAGCCTTGCCTCTTCCCCACCAGGCGTTGGCCTTCTCACCCGTCGTTATCAGAGAGGCCTGTGGCTGCAAATATGCAAACGCGGGGAGCTGGCTAAATGGGATGCATGAAATGCAAGACATTGACCTTTGCATAGGACTCATAGAATGGTTGCTGAGGGCATCACGAAGACTTCGACCACTGACTTTCTCGCGTCCACTATGTTCTTAAAGCCAAGCTCACTGGTGTAGTGGAACAAGCATTGTATATTAGCGGCACCACTGGCTTGAGTCATGTCGACGGCATCCTGCCAGACCTGAGAGAGACTTCGGTCAGCTCTTGCCCAGCTCACCAAGTGTGAAAGATCTTGAAAAGAATCAAATGCCATGCAACAACTGCATATTCGCTCTTAGGTTGGAGGCCATCGCTCTTAGGTTGGAGGCCATCGCTCTTAGGTTGGAGGCCATCGCTCTTAGGTTGCAGGCCAACGCTATTAGAAAAAAAAGAAACAAATAAAAGGAAGAATGAAAAGATTGAACATTCAAATGTTCAAGGTCGCCTTCACGCCCAGTTTGGTATGGACCCAGCACCAGTCTTCCGCGTCATGCTGGTACTCGTCATGATCGAAAACAAGACCTTGCTTGTAGCCTTTCTCAAAATATTCTTTGAGACTGGCCTGGGGCAGGGCAGGGAGAGACTTTGGCAAAACAGCAATAACAAAACTGAGACTTCCTTTTGAAAGTCCACTGGGTTCCAGAGTCACATACCAAGGACCACTGCGGCTGCGAACCGGTCTATCAGCGATGTTTGCAAAAGCCCAATGAATGGAGAGGTAAGTGCAGGTGACTGGCTCAAGGAAGTAGATTGGCATGTCAGGCAAGGAGAGGCCAACAACAGAGCTCTCTGATACTAAGTGGAGTCAAAAGCACTAATGAAAACCTTTGTCCTTCCATCATCCGGTACTTGACTTTGAGCCCTGGCCTTGTCACCCTTCACCTGGTTTGGCGTAGAAGTAGAATGCTCTTCTTTCGGCGCCTTGCAGCTGGAGATGCAAAATCACTATGAATGCTTCGCAAATCCGATGAAACGAGTTGCCATCGCATCAGTCGACCAACTTCGCATCAGTCGAAGAGTCGACCAACCAGTGGAGCGAACAGACCCGTGAACAGTGTCCCAAAAGTCTGGAGAAACACAGATCCTTGTGACTCGCGCGATTTGTGGCTCGTTCCCTCACCACTTCCCTCCATCCCTGGTGATCCACACGATGACCATGACCGGCACGACCGGGTACGCGATCTGTCTTGTCCAGCGTGGACAAAAAAAGAGGCTCTGCTGTCGCAGAACTTTTGCATGGACGTGTTGTAGGTTAATCCGCCGACCCCACACCGTGGGCTAACATAGAGCAAGGCTAGCGCTAAGGTTCTATCCCTTGGGGGTCGGCGGCTGCAGGCTGTAGCCTGGTAAATATAAAGGGACTCTCGCACCCATTCTACGCAACTCGTGAATGAAGACCATTCAATCTTCCCAGAAGCACGGCACGCAATGCTTGTGGGGGGAAAGTTAAGTGGTGATCAACTGGATTTGGTATGTTCCAGAAACCTTCCTCCTTCGCTTCTCCCAGGTTGGTTTTGTTTGTTGACTGAACACAGATTGCCAACATGTTAATGGCAGAAGTTGGGCCAACATGATTCAAGTCTCCAAAGATAAGAGTTTCTTGGCTGGAGTCAGCAGTTGAAACGATGCCGGAACCTGAACCCTTCGACACGGATTGCAACGGACCGACGGACCGTCAGGAAAATGAACAAGGCTAGAATCGGCAACCGCTGAGCTCGAATACCAAATAAGATCAAATAACTAGGCCAGCTAGATCATGGGATGGGGGTAGAGTCGGGTAGAGACTCCGGAATGTCCTATATAATGTCCTCTGATCATCCAGCTCTTTGCATCCAAAAGCATCAAAACTCGGATGGTGCTGGATTTTTCTCACACAATGAATCTCCCACTGTGCACCTCAGAAGTGAAGAAAATCTCCAGGAAGTCTTTCACACCTGGAAAGTTTGGTCAGTATTTCTTGGGCATATCCTATTGCCTGTAACAGTGGATGATGATGGTTAGGTTGCAGGCCTTATCCAAAAATAGTGATACAGTGTTTACGGGTCCTGTTACAGGTCAGTTCGGACGGACCCTAAGTATTTGTGAGTCCACAAGGTTGGACGATCTTCAGATCCTGCCAAGATGTTTCTTGAATCTCTGCCAAGCTGCCAATCCACGAGTCTTCTGGGTACTCCTGCTCAGTGTCAGGATTGTTCGCTGTGGTCAACTGCGGGTCAAAAGTGAATGCAAAAGCAATTTGGAGGCCACTTGTTGGAACAAAAGAATTCAGTCTTCACTCCAACCAGCAGATGGTGCCCAAAAAACGATTTTCCGAATACCGAACACCACATACAGGATTGGTCCGTTTTTATGCGAACCTGCATCGAAGGCAATTCTTTTCATGAACATGCGACTGCTCTCCTGCAGAAGGAATTGGGCCTCCTGCAATGTGACACCAATATCTTGAAGAATCTCGATGTAGCCTTAGGACGCCACACAGCTTGCACAGCTGTTTGGACCTTGATCTCCACATGAATCTTGAGATAACTTTTTGTTGAACCTTCATGACCAGCCAAACGCAACCACACGCAATCTGCCACAGCTGCCTAGTCCTGTGCGCACCACAAAATCTCTGCAAAAGCACCAACATCGAACCGGTTCTCCCCAAAGCACCCGGGCAAAGCACCCCCATCAGCACCCCGAGATCTCGGCAGCCGAACCTTCTCCCTGGCTCCATCCCTGCTCTCCCTGCTCCGAACAGCTTTGTCGTTCCAGGGAAGCGCCATATCCCAGCTTCCACTTGAAGATCACTTCCACCAGCCGACGCAACTCCTTGGAACCGAAGGGAACCGCGTTGGGAACCGGGTTGGGAACCGAAAAAATGACACCAGTTTTAGATGGTTTTTGGAACTCTTCTAGCAAAAATAGACCAATCCAAACGGGAAGTTGCTTCGAGTTGCCTTGAATTGCTTGAAAGTCTTTGAAAGGGGTTTTTGAAAAGGTTGAAGCTTCTTGCATATGACCCTCCCCTGAATCCTACAGTACATGTGACCAAGTGGCAGCCATGCTTTCCGTCAAGCTGCGCCCTGTGCGCTTCCGCCTTGCAAGACAGTTGCTCCACGCGTGTCGTTTCCACTGGCTCTCCATGAACGCATGAACAGGTACTCAGTGGATGGCACCAATCGCACAACTGCATCGACCCTCTGCGATGCACAGCTTTAAGTAAGTTTAGTCATCGTATTTGAGTCAAAAGCAGGATGGCACCAAACGGATCCTTGGAAGGTGAAAATAGCCATCTTATCTTCAGCTCACCCCAATCCTAAGCCTTTTCAAACGTTCAAGAACCAGATTTGGCTGTCAGTTCGTTAAGTACTTCCGGAAACTACTGGTTTTCACTGGCTCAGACATATGGCTTTCAGTCAGACTCACCATACTGACATGTTGCAGAACACATGTGCAACATGATGTATATATCAGTTCCTCTGATTCCTTTGACTGACCATGTTCCCCAGTCTCCAAGTTTCCTTGAACCACTATGGCGCCAGGGGTGCTACACAGGAACACCGCTTCGTCCGAGCGCATCGTTCGTTCGCTCGCTGGGCGTCCACGCCGGTTTCCGGCAGATCTGCTCGCCCATGCGCCAAAGGCGGATCGGCTCAGAAGAGGTGCGATGCTTCGTTGGTCGGATGCTTCGGTGAGGTTGGTTTGGTTTTTTTTCTACAGAATACTCCAACTGAATACTCCGCCCAGTTCTTGGGTTGATGGGGTGGGATCGTTTGGCAATCCAAAGCCCAAAAACATTCTATCAAACATGGAGTGCCGGCTTCACAAAAAATGGTTGAAGACCCACAACTCCTGAAGAAACAATGCCAAACACCGTGAGGCTTGTGACCAATAAGTCGTGGCTTTGGAGTAGTAGGTCACCTCAAGTGTTGTTGAATCTCTCTTTATCTACTTGTACCGAAATCATCGGCAATCACATATCTCCAGCAAGTACTAGGCTTGAGGAAGGTGTGCTCTTGCCTTTGTTCTCAACCTATAGGCTTGATTTTGTAGACCACTGAAGCGTCAGAGTCGAGCCAACGCCAAAGGACTGGCTCTCATCCTTACACATGGATACATAGATACGATGCAGAGAGAGAAAGAGAGAGAGAGAGAGAGAGATATAAAAATAAAAAATAAAAAAAGAGAAACAAAGAGTGGGCTGCTACAGGAAATGTGAGTGGTTTTGTGAATGTGGTCTCTTCACTGCGTGGTTGCTGCAACTGCAACTTGGCTGAAGTACCAGTAGCTGCGGTATGAAGGCCTTTACTCCTCCCAACGGGGGAACAAACTTCCTCAGAGCTGGTCTGTGGAACGACCAATTACCACGAGTTGTAGCACAAAGCACCGCCCCCCGAGTTGCAGAACGTCCGAGTTCCAGTGACCCGGTTCTGGACGGTGGCTAGGTCCGCTAGGCCCCAGGCCGGGCGGATCCATATCCGTGAGGAACATAAGGGTCGTCCCTTCTTGAGGGTCGTCGCCTTTGAGGAAGCCTTGACGTCGAACCCTGGCGTTGGAGTGCTGGCGAACCATCTCTCCAAAGAAAAACATGCACGGAACGCGACCTGGAACTCGACTCTTTTTTGTCCACTCCATCGTCGGCCGGGTCCCAGAGTCCCGGTCAGTCGTCGGAATGTGCCAACACCGAGTCCTCATGTGGACCCGCCAGAAGCTCCTACCAGTCCTGCCTTCTCCGGAGATTAGGTTTGACGCAGGAAGCGTTGAGAAGCCACCAGAACATCATACAATAAACAACAACAATCAGAAAGATCAGGCAGAGAGAAGCAAATGAACGCAAAGGAAAGAAAATGAAAAAAAACTGAGGAAGCGTCTTGATCAGCTGCGAATTGAAGATTATGGAAGAAAAGCGGAAATCAATGCCTGGTCAACATTTCGAGAATTTTGCATTGTGGTTTTCCTGGATGAACTGCAGCGGATTCCAAGACCCAGAAGCAGGTGTTCGATCGGCGAAGTTGTTCCAAGTTGAAGCAAACCATGCAAAACAGGAAGGAACCTCCTTGCTCTCTCTCTCTCTCTCTCTCTCCTTCACCCTGCAGGTACGAAGTGTTTCGTGGACTCACCCCAGCTGTGGGAGTCACAACACGAAAGGAAGTGCTGTCGTTGCGAGAATCGATGATGCGTCTGGACATCAGTGGCCTGAAGGCACTGGGATGTTCTACTGCAGGGAATTCGAGAAGTCCACTGGACACTTGGTTGTTTCTGGAACAAAAGTTCAACCGCTTAAAAGCATTTTTTTGAGACCTGCAGTTGCAGGAAGTTGATCAGCACGATTCCGCATGATCATTGTGAGGTGTTTGCCACAGGACACACACAGACATCGTACCTTCCACGGCAAATCAACTGCCATGAAGGAATTGTTGGAGTCGCCTTTTGCGAGAGGCTGTCGAGAGTTTTGGAATTTGCTTGAGAAAACCAGCAAGGCAGTTGGACGACAAACCACCTTGGTGCAGGAAAGAACACTGACTGTCGTTGATGTGGGAAGCCAGGTCATTTCGATTGTTGGCAAAGTCACCCAAGTGTGCCGTGTGAAAACACGGATGCGGCAGCTTCCCCTTTTCGGTCCCGCTCCTTGAGCCAAAGTCACAGTCGGTTCACCCTGCCTCAAAGGTTTTCAAAGCCTCCAAAAAGCTTGTCAACTCTTCTTAAAAGAGTCAAGACTGTTCACTGTCATCTCAAACCTACACAAAACTAACGAGAACTTTCTCAAACAATCTCCATGCACACGCTGTGCTGCTAAAAGGTTCTCTAAGCATTTTCTAGCCACGTCTAGCCACACCAAACCTTCTAAAAGGTCATCCTGCCATAGGAGACCTGCTACAAATCAGCAATGCCTTCGCTGCGAACTGTTTGCCTTCGTTGGGCAAGGCCACCCGCCGTGCTTTCATCCCTCAGAAGCAACTGGCGCTCCATGCGAATCCCCTGTTCTGGCAGTATGGTCTCCTAGCATTTGTCTCAGGGTGCTGTACTTTCAACATAGAGCTCAGACTCAAACGAGCAAAAGCAGCTGAGACAGATCCTGCCAAACAAGAGGAGTCCAATGAGAACGAAGTGGATGCACTTACCTTTATGCAAACCGTCATAATGTCCTTTGTGCGAGGAATGACGCATGGAGAGCAAACACTTCCTGTCAATGATCTTTTCGCAAATCTCCCAGTGCAGCTTCTCCCAGCCCTAGTGCAGTCCATTTTGCAACACCAATTCCAACCAGCGGAAGTGAAGAGTGGCTGGAGGTACCGCACAAGAAAGGAAGGCGCGGAAGACAACCCCTTTCTTGTTGCGGGGGTCTACTGTAAAGAAATGACCTATGACAATGACCCGCACATGCCTGCCGCGTCGTGGACAGAGAGAGAGCACTTGACCCTTCTCCATCCTTCCCGCAGCTCCTTTTTTCCACGAGTGCGGACGCAGTGTGGACGGTGTGCCCAGGTCATCATGAGAAGAATGGAAACGCTGCAAGTTGGTGGGGGGAGAGAAACAAGAACCAAACACAACCAACCCCAAAACACAACACCCAAAAAACAACAAACCAGCAAGGGCCCCCAAGCCAATGTAGGCAGTGTTTCCTTCCGTAGCCTTTGGCTCAAGCGTCTCGGCTCAAACTCGCGGCAAAAGCCGTTGAGCTAGGAGGTTCAAGACTACTTCTTAAAGAGAAGAAGTTTTCTCGGGTCGTTACGCGTAGTTAGGTTAGTTTAGTTAGGATACTTGATCTCACCTTCAAACAATTGTGTGGTGTCCTTAGACACCGTACAATTCTTATCAAGTGGGGTCCTTAGACTCCATTTGATTTCAATATCCAACAGTCCTCCTAAAAGCACGCTCGAGGGGTGTCCTTAGACACCTTTTGAGATTCGTCTAGGTTCTTTTAGTCTCCAAGAATGGTTTCTAAAGAAGTCTCTTGCACGATTTCGCAATTTATCTACGATGATATCCTCGACTCCTTTGAGACGAAAGGAGTTTTTTCACAGCTTAGTGGACTTTCCTTAGCTGCCTCACCGCGTATCCTTTTTCTTTGTCGTTTTCCTAGCATGGTCAACACCGCCCGTTTTAGCCGCAATCTTTTCGTTGTTGGAGAAGATGAATATCGCAACATCTGTGCTGTCGTGACTGGGAATCAACCTATAGATATTATTATCTATGGAATACAGAGTCGATTGCAAGATAATATTTTGCAGCTCTATCACTCAGGTAGCCAACTACGACATGTACTCCTGTTTCATGAGTGCTCTTTCAGTGCGACTTGTATCGACTTAACTATTGGGGTCTGCACTTCGCTACGAAGGCATCGAGCTCATATACAGCGAATCAGTAAATACAAAAGCTTCGAATTTGCGCAAAACAGTCGATTGCGCACTTTTACCAAAGCTACTTATTTCATTGCTCTTAGTGCTACCCGTAATGTAAATAGCTTTGAAGTCTATTCGCCAAATCTGGAATATGCTGAGACATGGCTTTGTTCCAGCAAGTCCCTCACACCACAGGTTCAAGCTGCTATTACAGCCGTGCCAGGAATCTTTCGATTTCGAGTCTATACGCATGACCCCCCTCTCCATACAGAGCTTGGAGCAACAGATCGATGCTGTGTCAGCTTCGGCATTGCTGAATCTGAAGTTCGCATTGTTACTGACACACTTGCGTCAATTTATGCTTGTCTAAGTCAAGAAATTGCATGCTCTACTTAACAAGACCTCCAAAGGGTAATTCCCCTTTTCTGGAACATGCGCTTTGGTGATGCTCCTACCTTCTACCGCTTTAGAACTGCCACTTTTCTTGATGTTAGATCTTGCACGCAAGAAGAAAGATGGCAACTTCAGAGCATTTTAATTGACATGAACATTCCATACTACATCCAAAAAAGATTGCTTTTGGTCATCTATGCCGAAGGAGCTGAACTTGAAAACTTCAGGCTTCGTACCTTCCAAGAGCAGATTAAGATTCCCTTTGGCAAAGAAGAAGGCAGTTTACAATGCTCTTTCACTGCTGGAATCAGTGAAAACAGTTGGACG